ATCGATGATGATAATACTACCAGTCAAAAAGAGAGGATATACAGTTCTCTTTTATCTGGCTCGCCTCACTATCGACCGTAAGCTTTCATTCCCTATTCGCACGATCTCCTCTGTGTCACCTCTTCGACACCTACCCAACTCGACTCTGTCCACTGGGGTTCCACTCAAGCGATGGCCTGGCGTGCGAGGTCACTCAACGCTTTCCTCAAGCCAATATCCTATTCATCTCCACTTCTTCCGGCATATTTTTTGGGCAATAGATTTTTGGTTGGTTCGTTTCCAGAGTTCTTTGTTACTTATTCACTCATACCATGTGATCTTCAGTATCTGGAGAAGACACATCTTGATAACAGTCTTTGACAGCCTTCTGGAAATGCTATTTTTGACACCAAGTCTCTGAATCATATAGAAGGTGTACTGATCACTTCACTTATTTAGGAAATTGCATCAGCTCCAACCGGCTGATCGTTGGCGAAATCTAAGCACGGATAGAAAAAGCCCTTGTGGAATTTGCCAACTTATGTCATCTCTGGCGTAGACTTTATATTCAACCGGCTAACGATCAAAGGATGTGTGTACTTCACAACAGTTCTCTCTATCCTCCTTTATGACTGTTAGACATAGTCATCGAAAGTGGATGAGATGAAAAGGCTAGCTGTCTTTGATCATAGATGCGCCTGCCTTCTATCTTCTGTGCTAGTCGGCATAATAGGGTGAGTAATTTTGGGGTTAATCGCCGAGTGTTTGTTAGGGAAGGAAAGTCATTGGATGAAATTATAAAGCTACATTGATTGAGGTGGCTAGGACATGTGTTACTCATATATGCCGCCTTACCATTGCCTTCCTCGATGAGAAATGTTAGTTGATATAAGTTCAGGTCTCAAGACAGCTATTGTCGCTTAAACTAAGACTTGGAATCAGTTAATGTGATTTGCAATTAAAAGTTTTCTCTGAGCTGGTTGGTTTAGTTGCGGAGCTTTCGCCATCCACATTCTGGACAACATCTTCCTTCAGCGCAATTTTTAGCATAAAGTGAACTGATTTAAGTTTTTTTTCACGGGTGATAGAATTGCGTCTCTCGGTAACCATCTTTACATATGCATTGATCATTTTCTATTGACTTGGATTTTAAACCTTCTGGTCACATGACTTACTTTTTATTAGTTGGTATATTTGGTCTATATTAACGTGTTTTTCAATTGCACATTCGTCTAAGTACCAGGCTTCTAGGAATTCCGTGGAACTTTTGGTGTTTCCTCTGTCTAAGATTTTGACATTATCCCAATCATGTGACCAGAAGGTTTAAAATTCAAGTCAACAGAAAATGATCAATACATATGTAAAGATGGTTACCGGGAGACGCAATTATATCACTCATAGAAAAATTTAAATCAGTTCACTTGATGCTAAAAATTGCACTGAAGATGTTGTCCAGAAAGACGACGAAAGTTCCGCAACTAAACCAACCAACCAGTTCAGAGAACACTTTTAAATGCAAATCATCCACCTGAGCTATAAATCTTCTCTACTATTTCAGTTAATAATAATAATATACTTTATTCCAAAAACAGTACTTGTGACACAATGGAATTTTCAGCATTAATCATAATATTGCATCGAATTTCCTCAAATTATAAATAAAAATTAATCACACAGAAAATTTTCCACATTTACAATAGGGATAATGTCAAAATGGAAATAATAAAAATAATACAAGTGAAAAGTTGCCGTGGGCTTTTTACACACAGTATTGTCAATGCGATATAGAAATCCTAGCATGTCTAAAAAATATTGAATATAATGTTCTCTTTACGTGGTACGGTGAGGGGAAAAACAAAGATTACACCAGTCATAGAGATAAGTTGGTGCTTGCAATTATATGAGTAAAACAAAGAAGCAACAGGACCATAAATATAATAGAAAAGTAAAACTTGAAGGTATATAAGGATGGATGGAGGAAATTGTTTTTTTACTAGATGAAAAAAGGTTAGTTAATTCTTGCCTGACACTATTTTCATCACATAAAATACGTGCCAAGTATGGTATCATAGAATTTTATACTTAGACGTGCGAGCATACAGTTTTCTGAAGTTACACCTTGTTCTACCTGAGGAGATGCAAGGTGAAAGCTGAGGGTAAAGCGGATGCTCCAAGTCAGACAAATTTATTGCACGAAGTCAAGTGCCTATCGACAACGACGTTAACTATGTGGTCCACTGGGACACCACTCACCCTACTGACAGTCTTCAGTATTCTACGAATTGTGACATAGTCTTTTTAAGCAAACCAGGAAAGAATAAGGGTGAACAATAAAGAAGAATAGGTAGGATGCAAGAGTTTATGAACTGTAAGAAGAGGGGTTGAGTTATACCCGAGTGTCTTAACTTCTTAATGTAAAATGTCAGGCGGAATATTTTACTGGAGATTGCTAAGACATGGGAAGACCAGGAGAGATCAGAAGAGAGAATGAGTCCAAGATACTTAATTTCTGATTTGATTCCTATATCATTGTCGTCAATTTTACAACTGTCATGAGAATCGATGACTTCTTTTAACTGTCGTTTACATCTTAAGCTGAAATCAACAGTTTGACACTTAGAAGGATTCAGTTTAAGACCGTTAGACTCAGACCATTTGCTGACTTCCGATAGAAAGCTATTTATTTTAGTACAATCTAGCTGGGAGTTAACAGCCATTGAAACCGTTAAATCATCAGCGTACTTCACAAAGTTTATTTCATCAGAGTGAGGCAAGTCATGCAAGAAGAAAGAAAAAAGAAAAGGAGAAAAGACAGCACCTTGAGGGACACCAGCTTCAGTAGGCAATGAAGTGGAAGACTTCCCTTTATATACGGTGTACTGCTTTCTATCTGAGAAATAGGAATGTAACCAGTTAACAGCCCAACATTCTGTTTGACTAGCAGCAAGTTTATTTAATAAGATGTCCCTAGGGACCGAGTCGAAAGCAGATGTATAGTCTAGGAAGGCACAACGAACAAATTTAGCCCCCTTGTCTAGACTGGAAGCAATGTTATGATATAAGACGGCAGCTGCATCTAAAGTGCTTCTACTGTGCTTATAGGCAAATTGTTTAGGGTCATTAAAGGATTTAAGCGAAGGTACAAGACTAAGTAAAAGTAATTTCTCCATAGTTTTCAAAAAAGGAGAAGTAATAGCAATGGGTCTAAATTTGACACATGCTCCAGTAGATAATTTAGGTATGGGTACAACTTTAATGTCCTTCCAAACGGCAGGCACAATATTATCGGAAAAAGATTTGTTAAATAGATCAGTAAGAGGGTGACACAGAATATCAGAACATTTAAAAAAAAATAATACTAGGTACATAATCTGGACCTAAGCTCTGAGGCACTTTTGAACATCATTTGTGTTAAAACCTGGAAAGGGGCTATTATTAACACAAGTGATGCTGGGAAGCATGGCATTTGAGGGAGAGTAAATAAAAGATTTGTTAAGAGTACATACATCAAAAGAATATGGAATATTGTTTATCTGCTTACCACCAGTGATTTCCTTAAATAGTTTCCACATATTAGAAGGATTTTTGCAGGATATGAATTTCTGGTTATATATTACATTCAACCTCTGCATTTCAGACTTAATTAAGAAGTTAGTTCTTTTTACACCACTTTTATCTTTCATTTATATAGTTTTTCCTTCTCTCTACGAAGCTTTTTAAGTTGACGGGAGGAGAAACGGTCAAATTTGACGAATAGTGTTTCTTTTGGACAGCAGATTTCAAAACAGAATTTCAGATAGGATGTAATATTAGAGATATTGTCATCAAGTGAATCATCATTAAACAAATCCCATCTTGTGTCACTGAGCATGTTTCTAAGATGATGTACGTTCTCATTTGAGTAGCATCTGTGAACAACTTTCTTAGACAAGTTTGAGAAGGCTTTACTGTGTAACTTTCCGTAAATTTTGGGTAAGACTCGTACAATACAATGATCAGAATTGAAGAGCGGAGCTCTTTTACGAGCTTCGTATATTCCAGAATCATTTATAAATACTAAATCAAGTGAAGTATTTTGTCGAGTTGGGAAATTAACAACATTTTCATGGCCCAGCAATGTAATAAAACTGCAGTCGCTGGAGTTGAAGTCGCCAGTCACTATAGATAAGGAGTTACCAAACGAAGCAGCAGCAAAAATAGTGAATTCATCAGCGAAGATCGATAGTTCTGAGGGACTGCAACAAGGTGTGATATAGATATTTGTGACGAAAATTAAGCTATACTTAGGTAAGTGTTTAGGTCGACATTTTACAGTTATACAATCAATATTGTCACATTTGAGAATTTGAAGCAGATGTTGTTGGCAGTAGACCACTGAGAATTAATAAAAGTGGTAACACTACCACCTCTCTTCCTCTTCTTCTTTGAGTTGCATCAGTCTTGTCTGTACATTGCGAAACCACCTAAGGAGACTATAAATTATCGTCATATGAACCGTGTGAATTCTTTAACACTTGGCTTAAAATGGTTTTCCATGGTGGAAATGCATTCAGTCTTTGTGATTTCTCCCTTAACAGTGAAACCCTATTGTTTTTCCATGGTACTCTTCTTTCTCCCTCACATATCTGCTTAATTAATATCGATCTTCTGAGTCTCTTTTGTTCTCTTTATATCCTCCTTTATGTGCTACATTGAGGCTGGTGGTAAGTCGAACTGCTGGTGCACTTCCGTGCAAAGTTCTCTGTCGAAACCAGTCAGTCATATGAAAGCACTGACTTGATATTGCTCTCCAAGATCTGGGTCTTGTTCCTTATGCGTTTTGAAAACCCCATTACGACTTGCAACAAATAAATGATTATTATAATTATATCCGAAAAGCTGATGAGTGAATGCCTATTTCTGAATAATTCCTTCCTTTAAAAGAATCACTCAATCAATGCCTTGCGTTTTCTAAGTTGCATATTTTTTTTGACTGATATTATTTCCTGATAAATCTCCACTTCCTCTAATTCTTTTCCTAGGAATAAGTAGAATACACGAACCTCAACCTCCACCGCCACCACCACATTCGTCAGATATTATTCACGGTGGACACTACACTGGCAAACAGTCGTCACATCAACCATTCGATGGCAGTACTCATATTCTAACCGGTCAACCTTCTTTAATTGGACAATCCAATGTGATACAAAGATCCAGTCCACAAATCTCTCCTCAGTCTATAGTAATTACAGACTCAAATAAAGCACTGCCTAGTTCAGTTTGGTCAGTTCCAGCCAATAGTACTACAAGCAGCAGTAGCAACAACAACCCCAGTAATGTTGCTCCTCTAGTTTCAGAGCCTAGTCCACGTGCGAATCAAAAAACAAAAGCTCATGTATGTAATCCCTTTCCTGTTTGTCATTATTTTCCTTTCTTAAACATGTTGTAAGTGCGATATCGCTTGAAATTAAGTCATGCGTAGATAAAGGCTATCCCGGTCCAGAACAAACAAGAAGCCGGTCACTGTTTCTACGGTACTATTGATAAACAAATCAATTATTATATATACAACAAACCTTAATGGTTTCAAGAGTACAAAGCACAACGCTTAACAGAAAGCAAGGTACCGCTATCAGAGCGGAATAACGTTAAAGCCAAAATTGCGAACTAGCCGGAATCAGACACGACCGTTCAGGTAAGCAGTTACTAGAAGAATGAGCCCAAGTAAGGCAAGGCATAGGACAGAGAGCGGTTAAGAGATAGACAGAGCATAGGCACAAAGATAGAATTTAATTGTCTACTTAACCAGATAGGCTGATACAGATGAAGATCAGTAAATAAGATAAACTCAACAGAATAGTACAAAGTAAGACATGGGTCAGCAAAAATAACAGTTCACAAAATACTCTGAGTTCAACTGTCTGACTAAACGGATCGAGGTAAAAACGCATACACACAGTTCATTAAACAACGGGGGATAAACACACACATTTTAGGCATGGATAATTGGGTTGCAACAACGCTAGGCTGATCCGGGACAGGTTGACTTGATTCAAGGATGGGAATTGGATTGATCTTACACCGGCCCCCAAAATCCGACCAGGATTTTATGAATCATGTTACACAGAACAACCCTCGTACCCGGCTCTCCTACAAATGACTTCCCTCTAGTAGGCATATCTTACGTATATCGCGCTTCACCTCGCCGTTTCTCGTTCTTATTGTAACAGTTCTGACAAGTCCGTTCGCGGATTGTTCGCATCCCGCAATAACTCCTAGCGGCCAACGGTCTCTTGTCGAAGATTCTGACGCAATCATCACCACATCCCCCGGGGATAGATTTTTAGATTTTGTGATCCATTTCTGTCTAGTTTGAATTAAGGGTAGATATTCTCGCTTCCATCTCCGCCAGAACGAAGCTGCTAGAGGCATAGTCTGCCTCCATCCGGAGTTGTATACCTGGACAGTATCTGATGGAGTCTCCATACTAATGTTTTGACAGACCAATAGTAGGTGATTTGGCGTGAGAGCTAGATTATCTCTACTATCCGATGTTGATGGTACAAGCGGCCGATTATTCAATATGCGTTCTACCTCTTCCATAAACGTCAATATGGTTTTATCATTTAGATTCTGCTCTTTGCATAATGCTTGAAGAATAGCTCTCACTGATCTAATCATTCGCTCCCACACTCCACCTTTATGACTCACATTTGGAGGCTGGAAGTGCCACTGTATCTCTTATCATTAATCTTCTGATTCCATCTATTCATTATCTCCTTCAGTTTTATTCACAATGTTTCTTGTCGTCATCAGATTTGTCACTTCGAGATTACACAGTTTGAAGTGAGAATTCATCAAGACATCTAGGTCACAGTGTACATGATAACCTGCTTTTTACTGTAAAAACAAATCAAGAAACCAAGCAGGATAATGTAGATTACTCATTGTTAGGATCAGTGGGGTATTACTCAGAGCACACAAGTAGTTCTAGGCAGTTAGATCACAGGGATCTGAAAACTGGACGGCTGTTTATCTGAGTATATACAGACTACAGCTCTGGTGAGCCTGTCCAGCCGGTGTTTTTTATATTGTAATGACGAAAGATAAAAGGGCTGGTAAAATGACCTCTTTTTATTAGAGAAAATACACTATATTTGTACATTTTTAGCCACACTGAAACCTAGCTAGGTCCAGCGGACAATAAATTGTGTTCTGATTGGTCGACTATTGGTCCAAAGTTAAGCAATGAGAAGAAAAGTTGTCAAGCCCATATCGTAAACTTAATCCAGATTTGAGTAACTTAACACTTCTGCCTCTTCAACCAGCCAATGACTTAAAATATAGGTCGCTTCCCATCAGTCTGCATATGTATGCCTACTTATAAATCGTGTCAGTAGTACACACCACAATATCACTTCATTCTAAATAGTAAGCACTTCTGCTCGATTCGAGTAGATCCCCGAACTAATTATAATGAATCAATAGAGTATACACCATCATGCTAATTTGCCCGTTTTCTTGACTACCATTTGTGGTATTATGCAGATCAAATATTGTGAATTTGAATCACAGAAGAAGCAGTAAAGAACCAAGTAAGAATAACAAACCAGCAGCATTGACTGTCGAGGGGATAAATTTGAAAGAGTTCATTTTCCTAACTTACGTAGTAAGTATTGTCTCAACTACAGGCGACAGTATGGACGACGATGTGAAAACCGGGATTGGAAAGACAAGACAGACCTTTATCAATCGGAAATCTGCTGCACTCAGCATATAAACAACAAAATGCGAATTTTTAACGCCAATGTTCAGTCCAGCTCCTCTGTATGGGTCAGAAACTTGCCAAACGCATCACGAAAAGTATTTCCGACGGGATACTGCGGATTTTTATCGACAGCTGGCCCTCTTCGCTAGCCACCTCCATAGTGACGATGGAATAGCCGGAAGGAATTAGAAACAAGAAATTCTTGGAATAAACCAACCAAGAACCTATTGCTCAACACATATATCGAAGAAAATGAAGATGGATGGGGACAAGCGATGGGAACATCGCGCGCCAGACCATCGCTTGAATTGGAAAGCGAATGGGAAATGCAGAGTTGGGCGTTGGTCTTAAGGTGACATGGAGGAGATCGTGTTGTGATGAGGAGATGAGATACTATGAGCAATCGTGAGGCCGGTTAAAGAGGACCTCAGAAAATAGGACAAAGTGGAGATGTTCTGTTGAAGCCCCTTATGTTCTCTCTCTCTGTCCTTAATGGAGTTCCATTGAATATTTACAATTTCTAACGGAAACTGTGATGAATTCTCACCTCGAACTGTATTTATACACATCGTTGAGGAAATAATATAAGGAAATTGGAAATTCTACCTCTTGTCATTAGTTTTTGATGAACAAAAGCTGTCACCGGTAGTATTGGTGTAAGTGGTTTATACTGTACTGGCTATCCGATGTAATGACCAAGTTGTACTGCTGGTAAATATAGCAGTGTAACAGCAGTAAGGTGTGTTTTTTTCTTCAGACTCTACCGTTAAGCCAACTTTGCTGCCTCTTCCATTGGGATAAGTGGTGGGATGGATTTAAAAAATGTTCCATCCCTAAAACTGTACTTACCCATCTGCCTTGTGTTTTGGGTTTTTAGTCAGATATATAACTCTGAGGTCTGCTGTCACACACAATACACCAACTTCACCGTCCAAAACCGATGCGTTGTCCTCTGCACACACAGGTAATCAATCTTTGCGTTCTTACTGTATAGCTAACTAGAACTTCCTTGAGTTATACTCAGTACAAAAAAATCTCCCGATGATAGTAAAAACACGCTTATTTCCCAAAAACTCTGCAGTACTATTTGACAATGATGATGACATCAACGTCAAGGATACCGTTCGGTAGTTGTACGGAGCTGATAGTTTTCTATAGTACAAAAGAAGTTCTCTAGAAGAAAATTAGTTAACCAGAAGTCAACTGTAAGAAGTACCTTAGAATCAAGACAAGAATATTCCCTACATGGAGGGGGGTCAATATTCTGTCAGTAAGAATCACTCACCAGCAATTCCGACAGACGGTTCTAGGTCAGAATGATGTAAGTTTGGAGTTATGCAAGAACAAAGACAAAGAGTAATGAGGATTAAGTGAACAGATAAAATGCAAATGTCAGAGCAATGATGTTACTGCCTGGGATAGTTAGTAATTACAAAGTTAGCTGTGGAGTGTAACAGCAGTAAGATGTGTTTCCTTCAGACTGTACCGTTAAGCCAACTATGCCGCTTTTTCGCTGGAAGAAGTGGAGGGATGGGTTTAAAAATGGTCGATCCCGAAAACTGTACATCTTGACTTACTTGCGATGGTTTTCAGTCAAATGTAACTCCAAAAATCTATCCAAATAGCCTATGTGTAACTGGTTTGAACGGTTGTTTCTGAGGTCTTGGGTTCCACAATACCAAATACAATGACCGAAACCGAAGCATTGTGGTCTTAACTCAGGAAACCAGTCTTTGCATCCCACTGTATAGCTAACTAAGAAGAAGAAGTACTTGAGAATCAAGAAGAATATTCTTGACAGGGAGGAGGATCAAAATTCTGGCAGTGAGAATCACGTACCAGCAATTCCGAAAGACGGTTCAAGGTCAGAATGATCTAAATTAGGAGTTATGCAACAACAAAGACAAAGAATAGTGAAGATGAGGTCAACAGATGAAATTATTTTTTATTTTGTTTTTTTTTTCTATTTTTGATTACAGCTTGATTCCACACTGTATTTTCGGTACAAGTATGGAATTTTCAGCATGGATATCGGTAGCCCAATTTTTGCAGGCCGACCATAGGTATCAGGTGTGCGTCGAAAGGGGATCGAACCTCGGACCATGTGCAAGGTTGGCGAGAGTCCTAACCACTGTGCCACCGTTGCAAATGTCAGAGCGTTGATGTTACTGCCTAGGCGAAGAAAGGATAGATAGTTATTACAAAGTTAGCCGGAGTGTCCAAATAGGTAGCAATGCTGTAGTAAATAGATGGTTCGGGAGGGATTCGGTTACACTAAGGCTCTTTCTGTGTTTAAGTATCTTATGAAGAAAGCAACTTTTATGGTGTAGGAATCCAGGAAGTAAAATAACCGACCTATACGCGCTTTCAAAAGCATACAAAGCTTTCCCGATCATCACCCACTTTCATATGCTTACTTTACCGCTCCACTGGTAGGTAGAATCTCCTGTTTTCTCGTAACTGGATGAGGAAAGCAGTGGCTTGCCATGCACAACACACATCCTTACCATTATGAGTAATATAGAGAAGTTGAATAACTAATCCATTCAAATTATTTCATTCTATGGAAACAATCTTCAATCTTGTGTAGAGAGAGAGAGAGAACTGCACCTTAAGTTGTGACAATGAGCACATTATTGTGTGTTACACACCCCTGAAAGTTCGATGTATTGTTCCATTGAATGAATAAAAGTGGTAATTTACCTTGAAAATCGGTATTTCTTGGTTCCACAATGTAAACACTCCTGTCAGTGTCTTCAGACGATAACCCTTCAGAGCTTCAACAGATTTTGTCGGTCTTAGGGGAGCCTACTGGGGAAATTTCAGATACTTTAATTTGTCTGGAGTGACAAGTGTATATATATATATATAGTGGGACAAAGGGTTGACGGTTTACTTTTGATTGGACACTGGTTAGCAACTAGTGTAATGTGTGTGGTCCTGTGTTTGGCGCAGACTGAATTCTATCAGTCACGTTTTTGCAATGTGGCCAACATTCTAGATAGCTCGCCATCATAGTGCACTTTGAATTGTTGATATTCGATGGTTAGAGGGGCAACCGGCAAGAAGCCTTGACTCTAGCATGAAACGTAGGTTTAGGTCTTCCTGTGGCCAACTGCCTCCAACCATCGAATATCAACAATTCAAAGGTTGATAGCAGCAACATCCAGCGTCAATCACCATCAACGAGAGGGATTTGAAAGAGGTTACTTCATTCACTTATCTTAACTAGGGAGCATTGTCTCAACTACAGGAGGAACGGACGAGGATGTCAAATCGAGCGAGAATCGGGAAGGCAGGCGAGAAACACATTCATCAACCTGACTGAAACCAATCTGAAAATCTTCGTCACTCAGCCATCATCAACAACAAAATTCGGTCGGATTTTCAATACAAACGTCAAGTCAATCAGCTATTCTATACGGATCAGATGGCCGGGCCGGAAAGAATCACCAACAAGAAACTATGGCTGGGAACAAACAAAACAAGAACCAATCGCCAAACAAAAAATATGCAGGAGAAAGTGGAGATGGATCGGTCACTGGCTGAGGAGACCGCTGGGTGACATCGCGCGTCAAGCCCTCGAGTGGAACCCGAAAGGGAAGCGGCGTGCGGGACATCCAAGGGTGACATGGAGGAGATCGTGTGAAGAGAGAGGAGTTGAAAGAGTATGGTCTAACATGGATGGAGGTGAAAAGTACAGCAGAAGGAGGTTAAGACGTGCATTTGAAGCCCTATGTTCCACTAGGAACCAAAGGGAACAATAGTAATATGTACTCATTCATATGATTTGAACAGCGTACAAGTGAGTTTGTAAGATACTACAGCTCTTTGAGTCCCTGTGTAATTTATTCACTCAAAATGACGTGATATCCGAATTTTAATTTCTTCACTTTGGTCACTTCATTCTACCATTATTATTTTATTTATTTATTTTTAAACTTCTAGTTTGATGGTCAATCATCTCAGTCAAGTGGCGGTGGCGGCGCCGGCAGTGGCAGTACTAGTAATTCCTCCTTCAGTCTCATTAAATCTGTTGCCCTATCAAATCCAATCTGTGCTAATCTACTGAATTTTAGTCTACCATCAATCACTACATCGAATACAGTTATTACAACTGGTCCACCACGTAGTAGTACTGGCATATCAACAACTGTTGTAAATAACCTGCCGACAACAGCTACTGGGCTAGGCGGTGATACACCTGAAATTCAAGTGTATAAAAAACGCTTTAATTCAGAGATACTATGCGCATCCACGTGGGGTGTAAATTTACTAATTGGACTAGAAACTGGACTGTCTTTATTAGATCGTAGTGGTGAAGGTCGAGGTAAGTATGGAGTATTTGTATATTGTATAAAAATTAATGCTTAATTAGGCACCACTTTTTTTTCTTCTTTTTTTCTCATTCCATTTATGTACTACTGACTGATTGGTTGAAATGAGTAGTAGGTGGTGTATGCCACTGACATTAACCAGTAGGGCTTACTAGTCAGATCGCGAAGTGATCTAAACACCGGCCGGAAGACCGTTTCACTCGTTAGCCGTGTATCTGGTTTGACCGACTCTGAGAGACGAATGAGTTCAATTCCGACGATTGGTGCCTGGTTACTCTTATCTTAGACGACCAACTGTTAATTCCACAAAACTATATTCTCCCTAAAGCTTATGGGATTTTTTGAGATTTTTAAGCCCGTTACTTGTATATCCTTTTTTAGTTACGACTAACTTGAAAATTACTTTTGTACTGTGTAGGTACATAGTTTTATCAGTAATATCTCCAACTCTCTGTCATCAAGTTCATATCAGTTCCCCTGTTGAGCAGCACAGTGTTGGCTGGCATAATAGAATAGAGTAGGAAAAGACTGAGATGTTGTCGAATCAAAACCTGGAATCAATCCATGAAGTCTTTGACAGTTGATTTGAGTCACTTAGGGAGAGATGTAAACTTCCTGGTTAGGATCCTTCCTCTAAAAGCTAAGAACAAATGACTGTAGACCGTGGGTGGTGACATGGTCTGAAATAGTTCTGACATGGTGCAGATGTATTCACTCGGTGAATCCCTAGATTCATCATTTTACTCCATGTTGTATTTATTCCCATGCATTTCGATTCATTATGGTTCCTTTGCAGGTTATTTTTCTCCCCATGTGTGTGTGTGCTATATGTGGGGTGTGAGGCAATGTGATAACTCGCTACACTTTTGTGCAAAGTTCTGCGTTGAAAACTCCGTATCAGACTCAGTCATTTCATATCCTCAGCATGGATGGATACAAAAGTCTTCCGTGGCATTAACTAAACTTGCATCATCTCTGTATTAAACGTGATATCCGGCTATCAGTCAAGGGACGTGAGTACTGCTCAGCCGTCTACTTTTTTCTCCTTAATGAGCTGTGAGATATGGCCGTTGAAAGTGGAAGACATGAAAAGACTGTTTGCATTATATCACTTATATTATCTGGTAATATTGAGGTTAGGCAGTGAATGTTAGATAAAGAGGGATGATCTATCGATGATGAGGTTATGAAATTGCATCGATTGAGATGGTTAGGGCTAGGTCATGTGATACGCATGCCCAATCCATCACCTTCCTCGATGCGGAATGTTCACTGACATAGGATGAGATTGAAAAAGAGCTAAGTGACAGTCAAACCAAAACTTGTAATCAGTTTGAATCATGTAGGGAGGTGTAGACTGCTTAGTTGGTTGGGGTCGTCAGAATTCTAAGAACTTGTAGTTGAAGAAAATTGGTGATATGGCTTGAAATCCTTGTTTTCATTGTCTCAGATGCTTTTCATCACTTTTCGTCATCTTCCATATCTAATAAAGACCTTATCGTTTGTCATGTTACTATTTTTCCTCCCTTACACTTCTGCTTATTACTCCTCTTTCGAATGTCTCTTTTCCTCTTTTGTTTACGTTTGTGTGTTTCATGGAGTTTGCCAATTTAAACTGCTGCCCTTCTGTGCAGAGTAGTAGTAGTAGTACCATGTTAAAACCAGTCAGTCTTCAAGGGAATGAATTCCTCTGATTGATGTGTGTACAATTGTTGATGAATGCTGAAAGGCAAGAATAGTGAGTATTTCAATCCATTGATAAGGTGTAAGTAAGGTTGTCAAATAGCTAAGTGTGAGCGTTAAATGTTTTTGGCTTTTTATAAACATTAAAACAATTAGTTGCTCTTATGAATTTAGACAAAGCAATAAGAAGGATGACGTAATTTGTCTGAATCGTGTAATACTGTGTGTATTTGCGCAATACATTTCGAACAATCTGATCGATCACACAATCGGATCAGTCATAGGAATAAATGTATGAAATTAGTAAAGACTTAAGAGGTGATAAAATCAACTTAGGTCAAGTTAAAACGGACATATTGAAGGTCAAAATAACAATGGAGATCAGTAAAAAGTTTGAGCATTGTGGATTTAGATCAAATAAAGTATAATTATATTTCAATAGTTTGCACACAATGATAAGTTTTGTTATTTGTAATTTTGCTCGAAATATTACCAATAACAAAACTTATCAATGTGTGTAAACTATTGAAATATAATTATACTTTATTTGAACAATGAAGATCACTAAACCAAATAACTGAGGTAATAGTACATCTCTACACTGTGACTGGTATCGAAACAAAGTTTACCAAGGAAGGAAGGTTTAGTGCGATGACGAATTGTTGCTTTAAACGCATAAACTTCCTAAATCGATAGGTTTGCACAAACTTTAGGATACGCTGGAAACACGTTTTATGCATAGGTTTCAAAGACGTGTAAACATCAATTTTATTTCATGTCCTACTAAGGTTCCTCTTCAGAAGAAACCAACAAATATGCACCGAAGATACACTTGATGTGCGCCGGTGGCACAGTGGTTAGGACTTTCGCCAACCATGCACGTGGTCCAGAGTTCGATCCCCTGCCGATACACACTCGATATCTATGGTCGGTCTGAAAAAAATTGGGCTACCGATATCCATGCTGAAAATTCCATACTTGTACCAAAAATACGGTGTGGCATCAAGCTGTAGTGAAAATAAAAAAGTAAAATTGATGAGGAAGAAAGAAAGTTGACATAAATTCTGGTTAACAATAATCATCCAGACAAGTTCATCAGGAGATATACAAGTAGTCAGAACACTAAGACCCACCATTCTTCAACTCACCACTAAGAAAGACGTGTACATCAAGCAAGCTACCTCATATGAGTGACCATAACAGCTTGACAAGTAGACAAAGATTGAACACTTTGGTTAAAATGACTTTTTATGCAGCTAATATCACATAATAATTGAGAATGTGCAGTCGATATATCCATCCATCTAAACCCTTAGAACATTCGAAAAGTGATGTCACATCCCACTGTACTCACCTATTTTAATTTACGTGTGGCCACACATACATAGGGAGGACTCATCGGTCTGTGCAAGTGAAGGCTTCAGAGCATATTTCTAAATGGTTTCAGAAGCAAATAAAATTCCTAGAAGCCATTAATGGCGAGAACAGGAGACCCAGCTCCTCTATTTACGAAACATATTATAGAGACAGGACATAAAATTGATACTTACACGTCTTTGAAACCTATGCATAAAACGTGTTTCCAGCGTATCCTAAAGTTTGTGCAAACCTATCGATTTAGGAAGTTAATGCGTTCAAAGAAACAATTCGTCATCGCACTAAACCTTCCTTCTTTGGTAAACTTTGTTTCGATACCAGTCAGTGTAGAGATGTACTATTACCTCAGTTATTTGGTTTAGTGATCTTCATTGTTATTTTGACCTTCATTATGTCCTTTTCAAATTGACCTAAGTTGATTTTCTAACCTCTTAACTGTAAATTGATTTCATACAGATATACCTATGACGAAGCACGGCGGTGGCATAGCGGTTAGGACGCTCACCGACCATGCACATGGTCCGGGATTCGATTCCCGGCCACCGACGCACTCCTTTACCTCGGCAAGCCAGAAATAATACTGGTAAAGAGGAAAGGTTGGGCATGAGACTAGCAATCCCATACTGTAAAATAAAAACACTGCTACAGAAACTTCAGGCCACTAGCTTGAAGCCCTGTTCCACTGGGGAACGTGAAGGAATATGTATATATATATATATATATATATATATATATATACTTGTGACGCGTATGCGTGGCATCAAACCTTTCGAAATGTGTTGGTGGTGTCCACTGGACACGAATTCTTACAATACCTCCAAGGTATAAAGTAGCAGTAGTGTAGCTGTAAATACTACTGTTTGTGGGGGGCGTACTACTACCACTACTATTAACCATGGATGCAACTAGTCGAGTAGGGTTTGACGTCAACCGGAATAATGAGCAATGAGAGTTGTTTGTATGTAAGTAAAACAAAAAAGCCACTATAGTAGAAACGCCAGTCAGAAGATTTTAAGAACTTTAGAGAACTGAACAAGCAGCAACAGCAGCTGCCAGACAGACAGACAGACAATGACGAAATAAACATCCCTAGTATAGACTGATTTTTTATAAGTTTCTTTTTTTATTTGGCAAATAGTAGAAGGAATGAATGTGCACAAGTTTATGATTCTGATTGTAATTTTTATCTGTCCTTACTAGTTATATTCTTCCCCCCTCACCGACATCACAGTACTACAATTACAGTCGTATTTAGACCAGTAAAACTTTGTTTCTGCAGTCTAACTCCTCTCCTCTCTACAATTGAATTGAATTGTTGTTCAAGTGTTGGTTTGTAGGGATTTGATTGGTTTCTGGACTTCATCATGAGCTGACATTAGTTAGAGAACCATTGGAAAACCTGGGAGTACTGGACAGCTGTTTCATCCTAGTTTGGGACTCATCATCTGTACGCACACACCGGGATTCAACCCAGGACCTTCTGGTTACAAGGCGAGCTCGTATACCATTAAGCCACTGGGACCCGATCCAATGACCAGTCCATGAATTCTAACTTCTTCCAATTCACGACATAGCGCGACCGCTAGCCAATGTCTTCGGCGAGTATTTGTCCTCACGCCCGACCTGTTGCTGCACCCTACTGGTCACGACTTCCCACTGGAACCCAGGTAACTACCTACCTGAATAGGGCCAGTCGCCAGTGAGCATCTCATTGGTATTCAAGTGTTGGTTTTTAGGGATTTGATTGGTTTCTGGACTTCATCATGAACTGAATTGAATTGAATTGTATTTCAACTAGCCTTCTGACTCATTCAACAACAACAACACACAGCATCAGTAAGTACAGACACCAGACAAAGCAAAAGTGAATAAATAGAAGAAACAGTCTAGTGAAGTTCAAAACTAAATCTCCTACATAAGAGAATTTATTTTT